TGGGAAGGCAGTGTTACGTTCCAGGAAACACAGATCCACAGAGCTTCGAGCTCGGCTGTTCTAGCCCAGAGGTTCTCAGAGGGGGTCCCTCGACCAGCAGTCTCAACATCACCTGAAACTTGTGATGAATGCAGTTTCTCGGCCCTGCTCTGGGACCCTCTAAGGAAGGTCAAGGTGCTTGACCCAGGCTATGCAGGGTCCTGTGCTGAAACCTGGCTGTGGAAGCAGCTCTAGCAAGACTGTGCCAACCCTTGCAGGGTAGGGATAGGGAAGAATTCCCTGCTGAGCAGAACACACGAAGGCTTCAGCCGAGGGTGCTGATGATCTGCTAGTTTCCATCCTTGTCACTGAGACGTCACATCATTCAATACAGAGAATATACAGAAGTTACAGTGCCAAGTCGATCGTCACCTTCCAGCCTTGGGCAAGTCATTTGGCACAGTCATCTACCTATGAACTGGGGTCTTGGGTGGAAAGCAGGGTCTCCCAGCCGGATCCTTTGAAGCCCCGTCAGGGAAAGGCAGGGCTCCTCAGGGGTGCTGCTGGCCTGATTCCTTCCACCCCAGCAGCTCCTTGTTCCTCCATTATCCATTCTGGGCAACCACATAGGTTTTTGCTTGACGGAGTTGTTCCATGGCTAGGAAAAAAAATATTTTAAGAAAGCAACACCCAATAATGTTGAAGGAACCTTCCTGCTCTCACATATCTCTGAACGGTGCCCTCTGGGCACAGCGCCTGCTATTCTTCTGTCGGCCACAAGAGGGCGATGAGAGAACACCGTTTCCCCCTGGTGGTCGGGAGCTCACTGTTCCCGCCCAAAGCCGTGAGCATCCTGCCTGCCCTCCTGCCCCAGAGGCACAGTGCTGCCCTGGAGAGTTGACTGCTGTCGACTGCTCACTTCACTCTTTTCCTTCCTTCTCGTCGTCAGATTTGCTTGTGTTTGTGGGTTTGAGGAAGGTATCAGGTTAGAGTTTTGTTCTGTCTTCCCGGTCAGTGTCCTGAGGTCAGGCCCTCCCTGTGTGAGTGGCCTGGGCATTGCCTTTGGAAGCTGACAGCCTCTGCTGGGGCGGGCTCTTTCGGGGACCCTATGAGTTGGATGGTCCCAGCCTATTCCCTTTAGCAGCTGAGTCGGGACTTCGTTGTGGTTTCTTTAGTAGCGATGCATCCAGTGGGGTTTTGGAGGCTGGACGAAGAGGAGCACCCCTTCCCAAGTAGGCTGGGCCCACAGGCCAGGCAGAGCAGAAGCCTGGCTTGGGAGCCCTGGGCTTTGGGGTCTAACAGGCGCTCGAGTTGTTTTCCTGGGATGAGAGTTACATTTGGAGAGACTACTAAACCACTATCCTATCCAGCTGCATAAAAACGGTTGTCGCGGAGTGGATTCCGACTCATGGCTACCCCACGTGTGTCGGAGTAGAACTGTGCCCCAGAGAGTTTTCTAGGGCTGTGATGTCTCAGAAGTAGATCACCAGGACTTTCTTCTGAGGCACCTCTGGGTGGACTCAAACTGCCAACTTTCTGTTAGCATGCAAGCGTCTTAACTGTTTGTACCACTTGGGGATTCCTAAAGAACAAGTAAAGCAACCAGTTGTCATTGAGTCAACCCTGACTTATGGCAACCCCATGTGTGTCAGAGTAGAACTGTGCTCCATAGGGCTTTCAATGGCCGATTTTTCAGAAGTAGATCAGCAGGCGTTTCTTCTGAGGTGGCGCTGTGTGGACTTGAGCCTCCAACCTTTTGGTTAGCAGCTGAGCGTGTTAACCATTTGCACCGCCAAGGGCTCCTAAAAATCTGTTTTTTAAAAGATGGAATTGGCTGTGATAGCTGACATTAACAATTGGTGTTGTATTTTCCATAAAGTTAGGAAAAAAGACATGATAAGCCCGGTACTGCTGGTGTTAGAGTTCCCAAGGCCTGGTCCAGCCAGCTCCTATTTCCCGTGAGGAAGCTGAGGCTCACAGTGGAGAAGTGAACTGTGTAAAGTCAAGCAAAGCCAAGCCCGCAGCTCAGGTCTCCTCTGGCCTCCTTGATCACTGCCCTCGCTCCACCACGCTCACCCTGAGATGTCCTCATCACTCTCCCATGCCCTGGAAGAGCTTGAGGCTTCTGTCCACTTCATTCTGCCACCACTCAGGCTCTGGTGATGACCATCCGGGTAAAGAGCCACTACGGCCGAATTCAGGATGTGCCGATGCTCTGGGCAGCTCCTGGGGGGCATGGCTTCACCCAGTGTCCATGCCCGTGTGGTCACTGTTGATGGCTGAAACGGTGAGATCCGGGCGGGCAATGAGAGCTCAGCGGCATCACTCAGTCCCACCTGTGGCCTCGGCCCAAACCTGCACAATCTCCTCATGAAAACCCAAACCCTGCATCTCCTCCCCATCAATTCCCTCCTAGAAGGCATTTCAGTGACTCTTTTGGGGGTGCTACCCCACCCTCATACCTTCCAGACGCCTGCCATTCTCTTCCTGTGAGGGCTTCTGGTGAGGGTGATTTGTCCATCTCATTGGACAGGCAGGGATACTCTTGTGCCCCTAGATACCGGCACCCAGAAAGCTGCCTGCTGCTCTGTCCCCCCTGGATCTGGACAGTATCCTAGGCAGAGAAGGTGCCCTTGCCTTCCCCAGTCAGCCAGGCCATGAGCATGGGACATGCCGGGTAGGAGGGGGAAACGTGAAGTCACACCTGTAGTCCCTGCAGACCACCAGAGCCCCCCATTCCCCAGATGGGACAGAGGCTACCTGCTGCCCAGGCTGTGCCCCACCTCCCATCTCCCGTCTCTCCACCACCCAGCCCTTGAAGACATCTCAGTTAATAGACAAGAAGGCATCTACCCACATCTGCCTGACTCCCAAAAGATTTGAGGAGGTCTAAAAACAAAATACAGTACAATAAGGGAAGACACACACACACACACACACACACACACACACACACTCACTAAGATAAATATTCAAGGAACCCAGGATGGGGAACCAGAAGAGCAGGGAACTCACCGTGTGAAGGGTTCTACGGCAGGAGTCATAAGGCATCTTTGTGGCTTTGCTCTTGGCTGGTGTGCATTGCCAATGCTGGTGGTGGTCCTGCTGGCCACACACCCTGGGAGCTATGCATGCACACTTCTACCCAGCCTAGGGAAGAGATGTGTTTTAATTAAGCTGCTGTGGGATGTTGGTAAATCTCTACCTATTATGGGTTGAATTTTGTCCCTCAAAAAGATCCGTTCAAGTCCTGACTCCTGGTACCCGTGAACGTGACCTTGTTTGTAAGTAGGATCTTTGCAGATGTAATGAGTTCACATGAGGTCATGTGGGAGTAGGGTGAGCCCTAATCCAATACGACTAGCAGCCTTATAAAAAGAGAATAGGCACAGAGACACAGAACGGAGAAGGCCATGTGAAGACAGAGGCAGAAACTGGAGCGATGTGGCCATAAGCCAAGGAATGGCTGAGGATACCAGAAGCTGGAAAAGGCAAGGAAGAATCTTCCCCTAGAGCCTTCAGAGAGAGCATGGCCTTGGTTTCAGATTTCCAGCCTCCAGAACTGTGAGAGAACAGCCTTCTGTTGTGATAAGTTACCCACTTGATGGTACTACACGACCTTAAAATGGTAAGAAGTCATAAACAAGAATGGTTTACAAAAATCAAACCAAAAATAATTTCTCTACAACGTACAACACCAGAGGGTTCGCAGTGGCCTTGCTTGAAGAGTGGAGATGTTGCTTTCTCTTCTTTGTAAAGCCTCATCCCATTCTCTCCACCTCCCTCTCCCGCCAGCTCCTGTCCCTAAAACTCCAAACCTTGCCCCACTGAGCGTTCTCATTTTGAGCATTTAGTCTCTTCTTCTGAAGCCTGCCTTGAGCAAAGGCCATGTTGATATTAGAAAAATATGAAGAGGTAAATGAGAGCCTGCTGCAGGAGGAAACACAGCCACCCAGAGGGGCTCAGCTGGTGGGACCAGCTGAATGGATAAGGGGTTTCTTTGGATACAATGCTGCCCTTCTACGTTCAATAATCATAACAGCTTCAATAACCATGACAGCTTATTCCTCACAGGTCCTGGCCGCACACAGAGTTCACAAGGGTGCAGATGAAGGAAGGAGGGAATCAGAGAGAGAGCAAATGGACCTGGGCTCAGCCTTTAATAGGGTTTGAGGGTGGAGTACACTTTATTCCGTGGACTCAGGAACTATTGGCTAATTTAAAGCAAGCGGCGGGAAATTGGGGCCTGGGGGTGCGAGTTAGCAGGGAGGATAGGGTAGGAGCTGTGGCACGTGGGTGAGATGAGCAGCACATGTGGGTGTGAGGGGGTGCTGTGCAAAGGCCTAGAAGAGAGGGAGCAGAACGCGGCAGCCCCCAGCAGTGCAGGAGGCTGGACAGAGGTTTCTGGGGTGGTAGCTGGGCAGGGAGGAAGAAAAGCCTAGCGATCTACTTCTGAAAATTAGCCAATGAAAACCCTATGGCCCTATGGACCACAGCCATCTAGCTACACCTCACGACGACGGTGCAGGACTGGGCAGCGTTCAGTTGTGTTGTGCAGGGGGTCATTGGCGGCTCAGCTCCACGGCAGCCAGCAACACCAGCGGCAGGGCAGGGAGGAGGGGACTGGGAAGGCTAGCAGGTGAGTGGGAGGAAGCTCCCGAGCCCCACCGGGTGCCTGAAGGTGTGGGCATGTCTCTCGGCCCTGCTCCTGGTTTGGGACGCGGTAGGAGGGACTCAGGCAGCTCCCAAAGCAGGTGCCTGTGACATCGCAGGGCTGGGTCCCAGAGGGACGGACAGATGAATGGACCGATTTGACCATCCATACTCAGCTGCCAGGGGTCTTCGCAGCTGCCATGTTTAAGTGTGGGGAGCTGCAGGGCACCAGGGAATGCCCCTACCTGGACCCTGGGCCTTGAGGGCCGACTCAGAGGGTCTGGCTGCCTCCATATGCGGGAGGGGGCAAGGCGTGATCTCCTTATTCTGCTTGCGGGACTCTCAACCTGCCCTGGCTTCCTTCACAGATCCGCACCAAGGACAGGGTCTTTGACAGCATTGGCCACCTCATCAACCACCACCTGGAGAACGGCGTGCCCATTGTCTCTGCTGGGAGTGAGCTCTGCCTCCAGCAGCCCGTGGAAAGGAAGCAGTGACTGGTCCAGCCTCACTCGGCTCTGCGCTTGGCTCCACGGCACCTCACGAGGTGACACACTCACGCCTTTTGGGCATATCCGTCTCGGGGCCGTGGAAACAGGGCAGTGCCTGGAGGCTTGGGGTCTTATTCAAAACCCCAAAGGGAAGGCTTCCTTACAGGGCAAGTTTAATAAACCTTTTCCAAGTTCTCTTATGCATATTAAAGGTGTACATACCTATACATCCTGTACAAATTATTCCTCTATATTTATATTTTTTAAGACTCAGAAAGATAAGATTAATGTTCTGTGCTGTATGTTTTTAATGAAAAAACAGTAAGTTTGACTGTCATTATCCTGACAAAAATTTAATTCAACTGACCCATGCCATTGGGGAATTCCCTTAGGAAAATGTTACCTGTGGCTTTTCCCCATAAGCACAGTATGAAGCGAACAGAAGGCAATCAGTGGTTACGATGAACCCATTGCCCTTGAGTAAATTCCGATTCATAGCATCCCTGCAGGGGTTAGATCATAAAAATTGAATTGAAATAGAGTAAGTCAAGATGCTGCCCCAAAAGGTCCAGCTCTGCATATAAACCTCTGTGAAACACCGCTGTGTTTTCTGGATGGGAGCTTAGACTCCTCCTTGAGCCTCCTTGATGGCTGCCCCACTGCAGGCCCTGGGTTTTCTATCCTGGGCGACCCACACAGCTTTTGAAACAGCGGGCATCACTCTAGCTCCTTGCAGTTGGGCTGAGAACTGGAACGCAGTCACACTTCCCCACATGTCGGAACTTGTTGTCAAGGGCTTCTTGGGGAGATTTGTTTTACTGCCAATCTGGCACAAAATAAGCCTCTTTGATCAAGGCCTTGATTAACAAACACTTCTCTGTTCTTATCCGTATAATGACAAAACGAGTGTCTGCAGAGGGATAGCTGGGGCAAATTCTTGGCTTATACTTCCTTCTGGCCAACTGGTTAATGACAAGCTGCTTGAGGTAACCAGTTGCTGTCATGTCAACTCTGACTCATGGCGACCCCATGTGTGTGAGAGTTGAACTGTGCTCCGTAGGGTTTTTAGTGGATGATTTTTCAGAAGTCAGTCACCAGGGCTTTCTTCCAAAGCACCTCTGAGTGGAATTGAATCTTCGACCTTTCAGTTAGCAGCCAAGTGCATTAACTGTTTGCACCACCCAGAGACTCTCCTGCTTGTGGTAGCTGCTAGTAAAATTGCTCCCCCCCCACCCCTTATAGAAGAAGAAGGAAGAAAAAAAGCATGTGTAAGAGCTGCGCTGAAGGCAGATGCAATTATATCTCCTCGGCCTTTGGTCCTGGGGACACGTGTGTTGTTGCTGTTACCCCTGGTTTTACATTTGCCTGAAACGTGGTACAAAGTTTGAGATTTTTTTGGAATCGATTTGGGGTTCTGCTTACAGAATGATTGATGGGTGAAGTGTCTTCTTGTCTCTACAGTCAAGTTTACGAGTCCCCAACCACAAGGGCGCGTTCTGCGTGCAGCGGATTGTCCTGAACCCCTTTGAGGTCAGACACAGTCGTTTCTGGTGAGGTCACTTGGTATTAGGAAGTTGACAATATTAATACCTTTGTCTCCTATCTAGGTGGAGATCACCACATGACTGGAAAGATGTTGTCTTCTAAACGATGGGTGAATTCATACCATCTTGGGCACCCCTGAGCAGTGGTCTAACATTCACTGTGGTCCTTGTGAAACCCCATGGCATGCATCCCTCTCCCCCTGACTAGTGGAAAAGAAAGATGTTCTGAACAGGGTTAGAGGGGAATGATAGTAAATCTGATGCTTTAAGAGTGAGGAGTTAGGGTGAGATTTAAAGGAGCTTGCAGAGTTCTGATGCCTCTGTGTAGGTGGGCAGGCAGATGAGGCGGTCGAGATAGAAGGGTAGGGTTGAGATGTTGAAGCGGATGGGCTGGGCTGGTCCAAGACTTCATATGTAGGCTTCTTTGGAGCTTCTTGCCTTAGAGGGCCCAGTGAGTCCAAGACGGCAGTGAAGTCAATCTGCTAGAATATCCTGCAGTGGATTGGAACTCTCTGGAGAGCCCTGACCCTAGTCTAGGCTATCCTCCTGCTTCCTGCGAGGGCTCTGGTTTCAGGTCCAGAGCTGATCCTGGGCTCCAAGTCATCCAGGAGCAGTGGCAGCCACACGGGGGTTCTGGGCCGCTTCGGAAACAAGCTCCTGCGTCATGGTGACGTAGACCGCCGTCAGAACTGCTCTGCGCACCAGGCTGCAGGAGGCAGACATATACGAAGGGTTGCCTTCCCAGGGAGGGGTGATTCTCCCGCGTGTGAGTGGACCCTGGATAGAAGTATATAAAACGATTTTTTTTGACATCCTTGCACGTTCCACTTGTGCAAGACCAAAATGCAAATGTCAAAGGGCAGGAGCAGAGTGGGAAACTTTTAAGAACCATGAACACCTTGAGATCTGGCCTGCTTTCTTTATCCTCTTGAGGCACTTTAGAAATGGAAATCCATAGTTTTAGTAACTCCGTCCTCTGAAGTCACTGTTTATCTCAGTGGTGATCTCTGTGTGTATATTTATTATACACATACTATTCTTTCACATGAGAATCAATTTAGAAAATTGAAAGTATTGGGGGTCAATGTTTTTGTTGTCCATATTAATTCAAAATGTGTATTTCTAATCTCAGATTATAAGATTACTTACAATGAAATGGTACCAGTGAGAAAATTGGCACTCCTTTTTAGCCGTTCAACAGATTTCAAACGCAGCAGATGGCAGCGATTTTCAAATTGCTCATCCCTTCCCTTTGGAACATGCTGTAGAGCTCACAGAAGCCAGCTCATCTCTTTCTTCAAGCACCCATGTGATGGACTATAACTATACTCCTCACTTCACAGATGGGGAAACTGAGGCTCAGTGGGCACTGCAACTTTTCCCAGGCCACGGGGTCTGCTCTCTGCAGCCACGCTCAGCTCTTCACTCAGCAGCGTTTCCTGAGCTCCTGCTGGCCCAGCCCTGTTCTCAGAGCTCAGAATGCAGAGACAAAGGCGATGGGGCTTGCTCCCCGCCCAGCCTGGGCCCCTCTTCCCTGATTTATGGGACTGCATGTCTGCCTGGGTGGGGCTGCTGAACAACCAGGCAGAGTGGCACCTGCCCCTGGGCTCCAGGGCTCTGACTCCCGGGGCTCTGCTGGGCTTTGCTGTGCATCGCCATGCCGGCTCACCCTGGGCTCTCGGAGACTGCCCGGGGCCCGGTTGCCCCTCTCGTGGGGCCATCTCGCTATGCACCGCAGGCCTCCATGTCTGCTGGGAGCACAAGCGGCCGGGCCCAGCATTCTTAAAATGGCCCGTCTCTGCTCTTCCTAAGCTGCCCTGGGGGCCCCACCCACACCCCTTCCCAGGCCCACAACACGCATTGCTGTCTAACTGGTAGAGGCTGCAAAGGTCCGGCTCACTATTATTTACTCCCCATTGCTAACTGCCGCATTGTGTCATGATCTTGTTTTTCCCTCCAGTTGCAATCCCTACTAAAGGTTTAAGATTAACCAATGTTCCTCCCTGGAGGGTGGAAAACAAGTGATAATGATCTAGGGATGCAAACTGAACAAAGCACCCATCTTGGGGCAAGAAAACCAGGATGTCACCAGATAACCCCCAAGAAAAAAGTAACTCATCTGGGACGGAACCACCTCAAGGGGGAACTAACACAACTTCTAAGACCCATAATCCTGTCCCCATAAACGCCTTCAGCCGATCTCCACTAGGGGAGACGGGTTTTTTGGAGGAATCTATTCCCCTCTGTCTCCTATATATCGATATATAATGAACCTCTTGCTGCTCACCTCACGCCGTCTCAGAATTGGCTATAGCGGCAGGAGGCTCCAGTTCGCATTATTGCAGTAACATAATCGACTCTGACTCCTGGTGACCCCATGTGTGTCAGAGTAGAACTGCACTCCACAGGGTTTTCAGTGGCTGTACTCTTATGGAAGCTCTCTAGGGGGCGCACATAGTTAGTGCTCAACTACATACCTAAAGGTTGGTGGTTTGAACCCACCTAGCACTACTGGGGAAGCAAGCCCTGGTGAGCGGCTTCTTTAAGATTAAAAACCCGTTTCTCTCAAGTCGATTCTGCTATAGGACAGAGTAGAACTGCCCCCATAGGGTTTCCAAGGCTGTAAATCTTTATGGAAGCAGACTGCCACATCTTTCTCCTGCAGAGCAGATGGTGGGTTCAAACCGCCAACCTTTCAGTTTGCAGCCGAGCACTTAACCACTGTGCCACCAGGGCTCCTTCTGTTAAGATCACAGCCGAGAAAACTCTATGGAGAAGGTTTACTCTGTAACACATGGGGTTGCCACGAGTCGGGATTCACTCAATGGCAACGGTTTTATTTTTAAATTTTACGGCTGTAGATTGCCAGACCTTTCTTCTGTGGCACTGCTGGGTGAATTCAAATCGCCAGTCTTTTGATTAGTAGCTGAATGCGGATCATTTGTGCCACCCAGGGACCCCCCTTGCCCATTACCCTGTATGAATTAAGGTTGTGCTTAAAATTACATCCTAGTCCTGCCTAGAAACTTGCTGGGCCTCCTGTGGGGCTGTTCATTGCCGGCTTAAACTACCCTTGACCCTCGGCTGTCAAGGCTGTGCTTGCACTGCTCACTGTGGCATCAGGTGGGCAGTCTGATAAACAAGGTGTTCAAATGAGTCCAATGCAGAATGCGATGCTTAACTTGGCACTTTTTTGGCCTTTTATATTAGAGGGGCCAGATGACTGGGCGCCTTCTCAGCTTCCACCCCTAAGTCATTTGAGCAACTATTTGACTTAAGATCTTCTTGGCTGTTGTCGGGGGGTGGACAAAGGCCATTAGGTACATATGGCATCCCTGAGGATCCCCCAGTGGAGGAGGTGAGGTCATGAATAATTTAGAACGAAGTGAGAAAGGGACACGCCGTTGTGAGGAGGTCGAGGGCCAGCTTAGAAAGAAGAGCAAGCTCAGAGGAGAAGTGGAC